TCCAGTCAGAAATTACCAGATATGCAAAGGAACCAAAAAAAAAAAAAAGACCTATGATGATGGTCATCAATCAATTAAACTGTCCCAGAACTAACAGAGGTGTTAGAATTAGCAGAGAAGATGATAAAACATTAAAACCATTCCATATGTTTAAAAAGTTAAGTCCAGAGGAACAAGATTAAGGGGGAAAAAAAAAAAGAAACAAATCGGATCTCAAACGCTGTGTGCCTTTCAGTCAATCCTAATGTTACTTCCTTATGCTGTTACTCAACCCTTATGTTACTTCCACCAAATCCACATGTCCTGAACCAGGCCCCCACTAATTTATCTGATCCCTAAACCCCTCCTGGTCCTCTCAGTGTTCTCTTGAACCCAGACTATGAGTTCACCACTACAGTGCTAATTCAGTGATGCCCAGGAGTCAGTTGACCGACTTTCCTACATGCCTGCCACATGAGTGCCAGACCTGAGCAGTCACCCCACAGATGGATGGAAGCCCCTGGACAGAGAATGCTGCTGGATCCATTGGCATGTGAATTCTTGGTACCCAGCAAAACTCCGAGTGTGCTTTCTTGTTGATTTTTCAGCAGTTCCAAAACCTTCACACTTGCGAGCCTATCTCTCCCTCTTTTATTTTCCTCACCCAAATTCTGGTTCTAATACTCTGCTGAGAAAAATCCTGCAATGACATCCATCCATCTGCAGGGACATCCATCGTCCCTCCTCTCTTTTAATGGGTTGCCAAGGAAACCTCTCCTTCCACAGAGGCCACACATACCTTTTTCTTGGGCAGCTCCATCCTCTCTGGCATCTTAACATATTTTGCTTGCTCACTTCCTCTGGTCTGACTACACTTTGTGTAGTGCCTTACTTTCCCCTGGTTGCTTCTCCTTTGATGATGTAGGTGGAAAATAATTCTTCTCCAGATCCTCACCCAGCTCCTGTTTTTCCCCCTCTATGGCCAACTATCTTGACAAATACTCTGTATGTGCTCCTCACCACCCACTTTTCTCCTCACTCTCTCATCCTCTCTTGTTCAGACACCTCCTAATTATGAAATATACCAGTGCTTTCTCAGCTATCTTCCACTGTGACCTTGCTTCTGTATTTGGTTCTGTTTACTGTTCTTGGGAGCTTCAAATTATTGCTACAAATCTGTGCCTTCAATGACAACTCAACTTTTACCGTTCTCCTCATGACCCCCATGTGTTCTGTGCCTTCATTCTGAGCAGGTGGCCTTACTTCCTACATGATCAGAAAAATTGCATCAGGTATGACCTCCCTCAACTACATCCTGCTCCGACTTTATCTGTTGTCCTACCTGTCCTTGTTCCTTAGCCTTTGTCCCAGGCAGTAGTTGTCTTTGCTTTTGCCAAAGGTCTATCTGTGTTTCCCTACCTCTAAATCCTCCATTTCCCTGTTTCTTAGTTTCTTTCTCCATTCTATAAACACGGCTAAGTCTCCTCATCCTAAACATCTGTTCAGTGCCTTCTTAGTTACTTTCCAATTTATTTCATCTTTTTCATCCAGGCACCTTGAAAATGTAGTCCTTGTACACGAACTGTCTTTCTTCGCCTTCTGTTTTCTCCTTCAGCTCTCGGGCTTCCATCACCACTATGATGCTCAAGTAGCTCTTGATAAGATCACCAAGGACATACTGCCAAATCCAATGAGAAGTTTTCAGTCTTCACCTTACTGGACATCTCTTGCCTTTGAAAATGCTCATTGCTCCCTCCACCTCGGGGCCCTAACGCTCTTTGATTTCCATGACGGCGAAGTCTGCTGGTCATACTTGCATTGCCCTGACTCTTCTTTGTATCCTTAGGCTTCTCTCCCTCCCCTCTGGTTTGTAATTCTCCAAGGATCAGTGTTCAGTCCACCACTGTTCTCACTCACATCCCTGGGGATCTGTGTTAGTCTGGGGATTGCACGTCCTGATGGTTTCCAGCCCTGCACCTGCACCTGCAGTCCACATCTCTTGCCTGTGTCAGCTTCCTGTATCCAGTCATATGCTGAGCGCTCGCACCTCAGCATCCACTCATTCTTTCAATTAGCATGTGTCTTCTATGCCCATGTTCTGTTGAATAAGAACTGTTAACTGTGATGAAAGAAAGCCCCCCCCTCCACTGGGTACTATTGTATTCTGATCCTGCTTCCATATCTTTGTCCTTCCTCAGTCTCCTTCATGGGCCTCCGTGCCTCCTTGTATATGTTAATAGCGTGCACCCATCCCAGTAGGGTCTTTCATCTTCAGGGAGACTGTTAGTTATTACCTTTAGCCTCAATTCTTGCCCGTGAGCCCTAGTTCCGTGATATTGTTCAAACGCCTCACGCTCAGAACCCGGTCATCCTTTTCCTCCTGTCTCAACCCCTGTGCTGACTCCGTTTCTGTCATTGCTACCTCTCTTCTCCTGACACCTGAGCTGCAGCCCACTGATTTCCCCTCCCTGCATGTTTTGTCTCACAAATAAAACAAAAGCAGTTTGAAGTTAGTGTTCTGTGTGTGCCTCTACCCCACCCCCAACATGCAGATATGTGAGGGGACAAAGTGAGACAAAGAGAAGGCAGAAAGAGAAGTGGTTCCTACCTCTTCCCGTTTTAATAAGTGTCTGCAGAGCCTCCACCCCCTCCAATTGTGACATTAAGTAATTATGTCAGAGTAATATTTCTGGAAGAAGTTTCATCTAGACTTTCATTTCTAGCTAGGATGATAACTAGGGAAGAGAACTAGCCACTTGAAAGATTGAGGAGATGGAATCAGTTTAATGAGAATTCTCATTGGGGATATTTATAGGAATTCTTTGAACAACACTTACCTTAGACTACGTGGAATCTTTCCCTTTGGATGGTGGATTTTTAGAAACCATATTGGGCTGATTTTATAACTTTCCTGTTGCCTTGAGGTGTTTTGTTTTGTTTTTTTTAGCTTTATTGAGGTATAGTTGGCAAATAGCAAGATATTTAAACTGTGCCTTATGCTGATCCTTACACATACATTGTGAAAGGATTCTCACTATCTATTTAGTTAACACATCCATCACTGTCTTCCATTTTATAAAGTTATTTTTAATTTTGGTAAAATACATATAGTATTTAAAAATTTATTAACCATTTTAAGTGTACAGTTCGATGGTGTTCATTACGTTCGCACTGTTGTGCAGCCGTCACCCCCGTCTGTCTCCAGCACTGTCTGAAAAACATAATAGAGCTCCTGCAAAACAAAAACTCTAACCATTAAATAATAAATCCTAGTACCTCCTGTCCCCAGCCTCTGGCAACCACTGTTCTATTAAATACTTTCTGTCTTTATAAATTTGACTACTCTGGTATCTAATATAAGAGTGGTGTTACGCAGCTATTTGTCTTTTTCTGACTAGCTTATTTTATTTGGCATAATGTCCACACGATTCATTCGTGTTGTGGCATGTGTCAGAATTTCCTTCCTTTTTATGGCTGAATAATACTTTATTGTATGTAAATACTACATTTGTTTATCTGTTTATCTGTCAGTAGATGCTGGCATTAGTCACCTTCAGTTTGAAAACAATCTTATATTAACATTTGAGAATGAATTCTGTTCACTTTGAGGACTTCAATGCTGCACCCAGTTGAGACCTCCTTGGTTCACCTCCTTGGCTCATCTGCTCAAAGTGGAGTCTTGTTCTTCTTTCGTTTTTTTCTTTTAGGTACAATGAACATATATTAGTTTCAGATTTACAACATAGTGATTCAATATTTGTATATATTGTGAAATGTTCACTGCAGTAAGCCCAATTGACTTCATTAAGTAGGACTGGTTCAAGATGCACCTAAGACTTTTAAGGTTTACATTCTTAGCAACTTTCAAATAGGTAATATGGTATTGTCGATCAACAGTAGTCACCATGCTGTACATTACATGCCCATCACTTATTTATTTTATAACTGGGAGTTTGTACCTCTTGACCTCCTTCAAGGAAGGTGAAGATTTGTCCTGAAGTCCAACATCCCCTTTATTCCTCCCCAGCTTCCCTCTTCTCCCGCAGGAACCATTGTCTTGGAGCTCCCTCCCTCAGCCCTAGGGTGGGAAGCAAGTAGTCCCGCACCCCTCTCATGCTGTCACCCCCTTCTCCCTCAGACTTGTTCTGTCTCCAGGGGAGCAGTGCAGATCTGGTGGTGAGGTTGGGGGTCCTGTCTCCAGGAAGCTCTGAAGGGAGGGGGCTCTCAGACTCAGATTAGAGGTGCTTAGAGCCTTTTGTCCTCAGCTAACATTCTGGGACAACAGGACAATTCCCACCCAACATTCTGCTGCACTTAAAACACTAAAGGGGACCTACTTTTATGTGACATTATAAGGGCTGTGCTCAGGGGCCCTGAAATTCTATCTTCCTCGTGTCTTCCCGCTTTCGGTAGCCCTCATACCTGGCAAGGAGAGGCTGGGCTCTGGTATAGGGCGGGGTTTAAAGTCCCTTCATTAAGCACTGACAGCTACTTTAGTCTCAAAAGGCAAGGTTGGTCCTTAGGGCAGACTTCTTTGAAAGCCTTTCTCCCAGCTGTGTGCATCCCCAGATCCCTTTACTGAATAGAACCCTAATTAGTATCCCCCATTCTTGATGCTCTTTCCTGATCTCTCCTTATTGGTTTAACTGAAAGGGCCTTATCTCCAGAGCTTTTAGTAGAGCTCAGCAGAGGAAATTCTTTACATGAGCTGGCTTAGTGCGTTCTGACCCTTTTGATTATCAAAGGTCTTTACTCAGTTTCCTAGCATCTCACCTGAGTTTATCTAGTTAGGCTCCATGTTTTGTTGGGTTAATAATATACTTAATGGCACAATTTAATAAATTCAATAAAGCCTTCAATTGGATTTTTAACTTACAAGATTATTTGAACATGAACACTAATTGTGTATATGTTAGACATATTTTGTGGTCTGAGGCAGGACTTGGTGCAACGGGGACTCATCTTTTCTTTTTTTTTTTTTGTTTTTTGTTTTTTGTTTTTTGTTGTTTTTGTTGTTGTATCTTGTTCCTTCTCATATGTATCAAAACTCATACTGACAATGAGTTCTGGGTTGCAAAAGAGGATTTATTTTTCGCACCTGTATGTAGTTTTTTGCCCACAAATTAAACAAAAACAAACACAAGTGCTATCATCTTTTCTTATACAGAGTCCACCCCAGCAGTTCTGAAGCCACTGCTTGGGAAAGATCCCAATAGCCAGTTCTCATTAAAAAAGAAAGAAAACAGAAAAGACCTCGAAAGAGTGATTGAGTCTTTATCTTACAAAACTTGATAAGTCTAACTGAAAGCAACTAGGTTGAAAGTGTATTTGTGTTTGCAGTTTCTTTGTCTGTGAGGGCTTTTTTGTGGATGCTTCTAAGGACTGATGAGGAAGCCACACTGGGGTTGTTTCTCTGCTGAAAAGGTAGAGGCAAAGTCAGCTGACCTGCTGATTACACTTGAAAAGGGAGAGTGTGTCTTTTGCCACCTCAAAGGACAGCTGTTTATTGAATTTCTCCTCCCTGCAATTGTTTCACCTGTGGAATTGTTCCTGGAGAAGGATCTAACATCTGCACAGGCCTATCCTGTTCCTCGGCCGTGTTTACTGAAGCAAGGTCTGCGCTTACGTTCACACAGTGCAAACTGCACGTCCAGCGTAAGGGAGGATTTGGCTAGTCGTGTAGAGTTTGGGTAGGTCAGATTTTCAAGCTTGTTTGTTTGCAGGTCAAGTTCATTCATTTGTTCATTAAATAGTAAGTCCCTCATGTTTGCATGTTTGGCAGGTCAAGTTCATTCATTTGTTCATTAAATAATAAATCCCTCATGTACCAGGTTTAACACCAGTTTGTGTCCTGGTGTTAAAATGTGAGTGTGACAGTATCCCTGCTTTTCAAACAGCTCAGTCTGAGTAGGAAGATGGTCATCTAAATACTGCTCAGCACGACGTATAATGATTAATGCAAAAGGGACCTGGGGCACATCCTGGAAGAAGGGCTGATGACTTCAGGAGATGAAACGGCTTAGAGAGCGGCCTGTGCTGTGTTATGTGGATCGTGCCTTGATACCTGGAAGGATTAGCTTGAGCATGGGATGTTGGTTTCCTTGGCAGAGAGGCCTCCCAGAGATCCCAGAGCAGCAGGAAGCCTTCGTGATATGTTGGGCACCTGTATTGCTTCCCTTGACCCTAGAATCAGTATCGTTCCTTTTCTCGTCATCAGAAGTGCCACTTAGTAGTCCCTGGATCTTGCATTGGAATTAATCAACGGAGAGCTCACCAGCAATGATTGGAAATCTCTCAGAGGCTGTCCCAGAAGAGCAAGGACATGAACGTTGAAGCCTGGGCCATTTTCCATCCTGGGAATTATGCTCTGCCCCTTCCTAAATTCCCATTGTGGCTTCAAATGAAGAGGCCATTGTTCACTTTCCTTCCTAAAAGAAGCAATATATTTAACTTCTGGCGCTCTGCCTGACTGATGGAGAGTTGATCTCTATAAGGCCAACACCCGTGGCTTCCCATCAAGGCAAACCCTCAGCCTCCACTTGATCTCCCCCCTCTGGTTGAAGTTATTTAGATTCTCAGTAGGAAGCTTGCATTATGTTCTACTAGCTGGTTACAGGGCCTTGATTTCCACTCCATGTTTAACAGGAAAAAAGAAATTTCTTAGTTCTTTATAACAGCCAGAGGTTTTCCAAAAGACCTATTATGGGAATTTTTAAAAATCTGTACTATCATAGGACTTTGAAGCTCAATACAAAAGAGTCTTTATCATGCTGCTGAATAGTTTGGGTCCAGGAAGGTGTCCTAGAGCAGAAGTTTTCAAACTTATTTTTAAGCAACAAAATACTTTTTTTCTTCCAAACGAAATCTACAGAACCCAAATACCACAATGCTCTCAACTTCAGCCCTATTAGTATTGAGAATGAGTAATTCTTCGTTGCGGGGATATTGGGTGTGCATTGTAGGGTTTTTAGCAGCATCACTGGCCTCTACACTCTAGATACCAGTACCATCCCCTTCACTCTAATTGTGACAATCAAAAATGTTTCTAGACATTGCCAGATGTCCCCTGGGGGCCAAAATCACATCCAGTTGAGAACCAATGCAATACAGTCTATCAAACCGATTTTTTTTTTTTTTTTTTTTTAAAGAGCCGATGCTTTGGAAGTGGGATTAAACTCCTTCATAACTCTGCCTGGGGCCCCCAACCCTCTTGCTGGTGGTGTTTGAGGAGCTGGTGTGGAGCTCTGAGCTTCATGGACACGCCATCCCAGAGGGCTCCGTTGTCACTTAAGAAATCTGCAGTGTGGGGAACTGGTTACAAATAAAGTAAAACAGCTAAAATTAGACAAATCCATAGGTATTTTGAACCCAAATGCACACCTATATGTGCACTTGCAAGTATTGAACAAGGAAGTAGAGAGGGTTGCACGGTGTTCACCGGACTCCCCATGCATTAGGGTTTGGCCCTCACAATTTGCCCTGTTTTGCCGGAGATGCCCCCTGAAGGCTTGTGGCTCTCAGTCCAGAGCCTGCCTCTGCTGTGCGAACCCCATCTTTCCTGAGACTCAGCAGAACTGGCTCTGCTCATGGGGGTGCCAAGGGTGGGCCAGTGCTTGCATCCCCTTGCAGCCAGATGTCAGCCGGATCCCAGTTTGAACAAAGTCATTCAGAATCATAGGGTGGATTGTTACACTCCTGCACTTTGTACTTAGGGAGTAACGTGTGCTTCTGTACATGTGTGTGAGCGACTGTGCCTCTCCTTCAGGGAACCCGCTGCGGCCTCCTCTCCCCTGTCACTCTCAGCATCCATGGAGGGGCTCTGGGGGGATTGGCGTGCGCCCCTCCCACCTTCCCTCCCTAACCTGGGCCAGTGGAAGTATGGGGAAGCCTGTCCCACAGGCATACACTGTACCCCAGGTATGTGGGTGTCAGTATAAAAAATCATACCACTGAGGGAGTCACTCAGTGACCCAAGTGACATGAGCCTGGAGGGCGGGGGGGATTGGGTGCCTAGGGGGCTCAGCTTCAGCCTTTCTGTCCAGCAAATTCCTTCTGCCCCCAGGCCACAGCTGGAGTCCTGAGTTCAGGAGAGCCCGTCCCTTGCTAGAGGACTTGCCCCTTGTCCTCAACATCTGTCTGGCTGCTTCTGAAAGCCTCTGGTGCTTACAGCAGCGTTTCGTTTACCCAAAGACCACATGATCGTTGCAGTTAGCTTTGGGAGCAGAGGAGCGAACAGACTCATTTTATCTACATGTCCATCTGTGGATCTCCAGCCTTGCTGAGAAAAACCACTTCCAGAAACGCTTCAGGAGTCCTGCGGAGGTTGGCGTAGAATTCCTGGAAGGGGCTGATAAGAGCCACTTTCAATGCTCCTTTGTCATCCTCCTCCCTCCTGTCCTCCTGGCCATGGGCTGGAGGAGAGGAGTTCAGGGGGACAACTTGGGTAGGGGACTTGACACCCCGCAGCCCCCTTTGGCCCACGAGGGGGAAGCTAGCTATAAGGCTATTTGGCAAAAGGTTTCTACTCCATGCTTCAGGTGTGAAATCAATTTGATTTATTTAAATCTGTAGTGTGGATTATTGCTATCAGATGAGGATACAAACCACTGAGCTGAAGACAAAGGGTCAACAAAACTTACCACTGATACGCACTTAGTTGTTGTAGACATTATCTAGGAGATGGTTTTAAGAGTGACCCGGGTATATAATTGGTTTGTTTTGAAAGGGGCGTGGAGTTCCCAGGATGCTCTGTTCCCCATAGTGCCCTAATAAGCAACTGCATTTCCTGAGTGTTACACTTTTGTCACCCTTTGTCATCAAAATATGCAACCAGTTCTAGGTAATGCTGATAGGAATATGAAAACATTATAAGATCAATGGATTTAATGGTTAGGAGTTGCAGAAAATAGTCTTACATTTATACTTTGTAATGTATGCATTGTTCTTACATATATTCTCTTGTTTAATCATCACAAACCAGCCCTTGTGACCTAGGTTCTCTCTTGGCCTTATCGTGAAAGAATTGATGGAATCTATTAACATTGAAACCTCTCAGTGCCTTTCTGTGATCTGTGAAGGCTTGCACTCCTCCTTCCTGTCCAGCCCTGGTATTGACCTTCCTTTCAAATCTCCTCTCCTACTAGTCCTTAATTCTTACTGTAGTTCCAGCAACAGCAAACCACTTGCATGTGTCTGAATGCGGAACATTCTTTAATGTTTCTGTTCATTCATTCATTCATTCATTCATTCATTCATTCATTCATGGCTAGTTATATGCAGAGCACTGGGAGTACATCTCCCCGACATGCATACACCTCATCTACAATCTAACACTGGTAAACTGTGAATCTGGGATAAGAGTGTTGGTGTTGGTTCTGGGGACCCTATGAAGAGGGTAATCAACCCCTGGCTTGAGTAGTTACAATAAGGCAAGTCCTGAAGTAAGTTGTTTTGGTGGGAGGTGGAGTTGGACAGTAAGGAGAGGAGTTGGCATGGACCTTGGGGTCAGGCAGTGATGGGTGAGTGATGAAGTTTGGTGTGGGCAGGAAAACCAGCAGATGTGCTGGTTTAGGACTTTCCCCTGTGGCCTGAAGGCACCCATTAAATGGTTTTTAAATAGGGGCCCGGCAGGGTGTGGATTGTTCAAAAAGGCCTTTCTTGCGTATTTCCTGTTCTTCCTGCTTCTCCCCCTGAACAGTGCTGCTCAGGCTTTAGGTACATTTCAGGGGTTACCACCTCTGTGGGGGCTGCAGATTCCTTGACTGGCTGGCCCCATCCTCAGGTCTCATAGAACCCTGGCTGTGCAACAACTGCTTTTGCATTTTAACTCTGTTTATTTGGGTTCTTCCTGCAGGACCACTGGTTCTCAGAGTTTACAGTGCAGATTCCTGGCCCCCACCCCAGATTTCTGATTTTATTTGGAATAGACTCTGGGAATCTCCAATTTTTAACAAGCAGAAATACTACAAGAGACGGTGAGCTTAATGAGTCCCCAGGCATTGCATTTGTGTGTACATACATGCATGTGTATACACACACGTGTGCATGTACATCCATGCAATTTCTCATTTATACTTAAGAACCGTATTTTTTAACAGTGTTCCTGCTCCAGATTTGTGATTCCACAAATGTTTTACTTAATAAAAGCA